CATAGGGGGGGGGCAATGTCAGGGACCATCGCGACGCATGGGTCTACACATGCGTAGGTGTCTGTCAAGACATGCAGGCAGCAGGGCACTAGGACCCAGGCGCACCCGTCATCTATGACAGTACTGGGCAGGCACTAGGACCTAGGCTGTGCCTGTCAGGTGCAGGGCGGGCTACTTAAACCAGCCCTCCACAGACACTTGTTGTCGAATGGTGTTTGCGTATCCTGTTGCCTGTGTTGTGAGTACTCTGATCTGGATTGTCTGACCTTGTTGCCTTCTCCTGTCCTGACCCCTTTGCTTGCCTGACTCTGCTCCTGGATGCTCCCTTATAGATCTGATCTTCTGGTATTGACCCTGCGTGTGACCCGACTATCCCTTGCCTACCGTCTTGTACCGCACCGACCCGCTAGTTACCGACACGGCCTGTTTCACTCTGATCTTGCTCATCCATCCATCCCTCAGGGATCCCCGGGCTCCCTCACATCAGACTCTTAACCCACAGGAGCCTCTGGCAGACTATTCTACCTCTGGTAGAGATACCCGGTAGCTGCGACCTGGTCCCGGAACGCTCCAAGTCCATCCCCACCATCAGGGGCCCTGGTGAACAAGTATTCCGGTACTTAGACTCCGCACTCTGGGGAGGCTCTATCAGGGGACTGATAGAGGTGCTGTCAGGTGGTCCATTACAGGGAGACTGAGAAAGCTAGTGGGACCAGGAGCCTGGAGGAAATTTTGAAGTCTCTGGATAAGGAAGCAAGCTCGAGGGGCTAGAGAACCCCATTTAGAGGCCAGAAGAGGGCCTGTGCAGTAAGGTGCTACAACCAAGGCTGAGTGAGAACCCATGGTCTGGGAGATCAAAGAGAGCAGTGGTTCTGCTGACAAAGGAGCCAAGTGGCTTGGCATTTTTAATTGTTTCCTTTGTGAAGTTGAAACCCCTGTATGGGCAACTTTAAACAGAACTTTTTTCATTGAATAAAAGTGGGTTACCATGCCCCTAAACTAAAGTTTGGACTGACATGTCTCATTAAAAACACATGTACCACATTAAGCAAACCAACCCCCATATCACAATATATTTATATTTTATATATAATCACAATATATTTACTGTATATACTGTATACAGTATACATTGCCACTACATACACTTTAAAAAGGAGTGCTTCAAAAACAAGAGGTAAAGGAAGATATGAATGGGTTAAGCCTGCATGTTAAATTGACATAGTAAAACTTGTAAAAATATTGTTTACAAAAATACTTTGCTGTGTTTGGAGTTTTTTTTCTGACATGAAAGCGGGAATAGGCACAAATTGCTTATAAATCAGATGGGAAATTATGAACAACTATATTACTGATGTCATCACACTGCAAAGAAATTTTCACCAATGTGACACTGTGCCAGCTGAAAGTGTGAAAAAATCTATCACATTGGTATAACCTGTTGCTGAACTTCAAACTCATCATTTTCCTCTAGAATGAAATGTTACAGACATTTGCACATGTTTTTAAGATATTTTCAGAGAGCAAATACTGAGAGCCCAGTGCATAATAATAACAAAAACAATAAAGATAATATTTTAAAAAATAAAAACATTGCAGTCTTATTATAGAATAATAAGACTGCAATTAAATAACTTCCAACAAAATAACAAACATACAAAATATTATATTTGTAATCATTAGTGAAATGTGTTATACCACTTGGAATGTTTAAAAACTTACACTGACACCTTTTCAAAATACATGCTGCAGCTGTGCTGCATTGATGTCAATAGGCACCATAGAGAATAATGGGATTTCCATTGGTGTGCAGTGCAGCACAGCAGCAGCTGCATGAGAAAATACACTAGTATGAACAGGGGCTTAAAGTAACACTAAACAACATTATTATTCTCCAAAAATAACCCATGCACATCTGCTACTTAATGGCCCTGTAATCTGTTTTTCATTAAATCATGGTTTTCTGCCTCCTTCCAAGTTCATCTATGAGCTCCCAAACATCCTCCCCCCCCTCCCTACCCCCCACTTCCATTTGAAACAAGCAGTACATGTTAGTTGCTATCATATGCACCACTCTATGCATACCACACATCCTATAGTCCACTAAATACAGTGTGAGCATAGAAAAAAAACATAGCCACCTTCTAACAGGAAGTCATGTCACAGTAGCAGGAGTTTTGGGACTTTGGGGAGGCTGAGAGCAAAAGAAGGTACTTTTTTGAGTCCGTGGTCAATGGCCAGGTCAGACACATTGTCATTGTCCGTGGTCAATGGCCAGGTCAGACACATTGTCCAGAAAGCAGGAGAAGAAATGGTCCATCTCCTTTACTGTGCAGTAGGTAGATTTTCTGGCATCTAGAAAGGGTCCAAGACAAGAAACACAGCTGTAGCTGGTGGTGCTAGCCTATGTCCTACAACTTGCTTACGTTCACACCTCTGCCCTCTCCTACTCAATGGGCTCATCTTCCCAAGGACCCCAGAGCCTACACAATGGCCCAGGCAAACTTCTGCCATGCTGTTTTGCAGCTGGTATGCCTAAGGGAGCCCAGAGGCCTAATTGAGCCAGAGATTCTCTCAGTTTTTCAGGGGCAGGTTGAGAGATGGTTGACATCAGACTAGCTTGAGTCAGGAAAAATTGTGTGTGACAACAGCACAAAACTACTCTCTGCCCTTGAACAGAGAACGCACACATACACTTTTCTTGGCATATATCTTTAACCCTTGTTGAAGGATTTCCTAGTTAAATACCCTGTCTTTTATGTCATTCAGCAGGCCAGAAAAGTATGTGGCCAATTCAGGTGATCATACCCAGTCAATGTTCACCTGACTGAAATTTGGAGGCAACACAAGCTGTCTGCCATCTACCTGGTATACGATATGCCCAAGAGCTGGAGCTTGAGTTTGGCCATGCTCCAGGGTTTTCATTTACATCAGCATGCCATCAATTTGTATTTGTGCAAATATGGGACAAGAAATGACTCTGTAGATCTGTTTTTTTTACCACATCAGTGGCCCCTCATGCAATACACATGTACTGTGTTGTTACTGTTCAATGAGCCAAGACTGGTGAGCCAAGATGAGATGGGGATTAATGACACAATCCCTCCCATGTTCTTGCTTGAGCACTTACTACATAGTGAATAGACTGGTCATTAGAGATGAGGAAGGAAGGAAGAGTATTTCCTGCTGTTGTAGAGCCCACTTAATATTGACTATGTCTCTGTGAAGCTGCACCAGTCACAGGGGGAGCATGAGGAGGAGGAGGACAGGGGACAGGCTGTTTTACCCTTCCCAAACAGTAAGAGTTTTACAGAGATGGGGTGAGATGGTTGAGAACATTGTTGCACTCAACAATATTGATGACCATAGGTTTCCCTGTCACTGGAAATTGTGGCAGATGTGCCCATTCTTGCATGCCTGCAGAAGGATCCCAGGATGTGGGCTATCAAGGAGAGGATATATTACTTGTTGGACACCATTTTGGATCCATGTTACAGGGGAAGATTCCAGAGCTCATCTTGCCATCTGAAAGGGAGCAAAAATGTCCTATCAGAAGAAGTGCTGTGGAAGAACCTCTTAAATACCTTTTCAAAGAGTGGCAGAGTTCTATTTTATAGTTGGGTAAAAGAAGAAAGAGCAGTGGCTACCTAAGGGAGACTTTCAAATCCTTCAATATCAAGAGCCTTACCGATATGATCGGTAATAATATGGGGTCAAGGCTAGATGCAAAAACACCTACAACAGACAACCCCCTTGACTATCGGGTGTCAGGGATGGACCACTGGTATGAGTGTATCTAGTATGCACTCAAGTTTCTGAAAATGCATTCATACTTTCAGAACAGGCATTTAGAGTATAGTACTCTATATGAATTATTAATTTCTTTATCCTCAGTAATTTCAAATTCAATTCAAAATCTGCCTTTTGTTTCCCTCTTCAAATGTGGCCTACTAAAAAGGCTTGCATGATGTGAGGCATGTGTGTTTAATACTTCTGAGTCTTGTCTTTGACATAATCCACAATTTTCTTATATTACTTCAAAACCTAACTCGTATTTCCCTCTTCAAGTGTTGTCCACTAAAAGACTTACATGATGTACAGCATGTCTGTACTATATTACTGTCTCTTGTCTTTGACAAATGTCACGTTAAAACTGATCTCATTTCTCCCTCTTCAAATGAATTCAACTAAATAGAGTTATTTAGAGTCTGAGCCAGGGGCGGACTGACAACACATGGGGCCCCGGGCAATAGGGGATCATGGGGCCCCTGTATCCTTCCCCAAACTCAAAAAAGCCTATGAAAAAGGTACCAGGGGCATCTCATGGGGCTCCCTACTGACCCCGAGCCCTCGGGCAGTGCCCGAGTTTCCAAATGGTCAGTCCGCCCCTGGTCTGAGCTATACTTCTGCCTCTTGTCTTGGACATATTCCACTATAATTTTTATCTCACATTAAAGCCTGCCTTTTCTCTCCTTCTGGAAATCCAGCCTATTAAAAAGGCTAAGGTGATGGCAACACATCTAACAAAGAAGACGCTTGAATCCTGGAAACTCTATTCATGGCAGTGTAGCAGAATTAATTTGTATTCTATTTTTTGGTTTGTTTGCGACTTTAGAGGGTTTTGTAAGTTCAATAATATTTGTCACAATATGTATTGTTATGACTGACCAAAGCCAAAGTTGCACAATATCAAAATGGCAAGCAAGTCTCTTTGAAATTGCAAGCAAGTCGCATTGTGACCCATTTTGCAACCACCACCAGTCCTAAATATTTCAGCTCACTATATCCTCACGTATATCTTGCTTTTACCAATGAGAAATGTAGAGGGGTCCTAATCGTCTCCCAACATATCATTCCATTCATGCTACAGTCTGAAATGTAACACCCCGAAGGGCATTATCTTATACTAGTTGGTCTTCTTAATGATACTCAGTTCATGCTGGTCTCCTATTGTGCTCCAAATGCTTTGCAATATCAATTTTTGTCCCACTTCTTTCAAGTAGTCGCTTCTCATAAAGAAAGATATGCTAATACTCTGCTTAGATTCCAACCATGTGTTGTATCCATATCAGGGGCGGACTGACAACTCATTGGGTCCCCGGCCAATAGGGGATCATGTGGCCCCTGTGTCCTTGCCCACACTCAACCCACACCCAAAAAAGCCTATGAAAGATACCAGGGACATCTCATGGGGCCCCCTACTGACCCCTGGCCCTCGGGCAGTGCCCGAGTTCCCCAATGATCAGTCTGCCCCTGATCGATATCTGAATAAACTTCCTCATAACCCTAGAACCGCACAACACTCCACCTCCTTTAGAGCCCTACTAGCTTGTTACACAGTCTTCATACCTTCTAATCATTACCATAGACTGACCATAGTGCCATGATTACAGCTATCCCCACACTGATCCCTGGATACCACATGGACCATGAATGAGGCTTTTTTCACTAAACCATCCTACTCCCAAGAAATTCAAATTGCCCTCAGAATATATAGTTCTTAATTCCACCCCAGAATTTATGTGGGATGCCCACAAACCAGTCAACCAAGGCACTTGTATACAGCTTCCCAGCTCAAAACAGATACACATTTATTACTACACAAATTAGAACAGGAATGCCATACTCATAAAATTTTTTGTCTTGTCCCACTTCAGCTAATAGGACTCTGCTAGAAAAGTGACCGCCTAAAAAGGATTACATGCTGTGCAATACGTCTTTACTTTTTTTCTAGCTCTCGTCTCTGACATAAAACACTGTCATTATTTTAGGGTTTTTTCAAAGCTTGCATTGTCTCCTTCTTACATCTTTGCCCAGTTAAGCTGCTTACATACTCTCCAATCACTGGGCTATTTACCTGTCAGTTGGCGCCACAATATGGCTCTGTAATTTTTATTTCCTCATAACAACTACCTCATCTCTGGAATGTGGGGTTGTAGTTTTGGAGTGTTTTTGTGCACTCTGTATTCACATTTTATTAAATTTGTTGACAATACAGTGTAGTATTGCACTAAAAGAAGATCACAAGCAATACTGTGAAACATATTTTGTCACTGCTTGGCAATTGTTATAAAGGTGTTAAGCTTTATTTTTTTTAAGTGTATATAGATCTGTTTTCTCTACTACTTCATTCACTCAAACCAGGTGTCACAGCAAAAACTACCTAAAAATATTTTTTCACAAGTTAGATGGGATACCGTTGCTTTATGTAAGCCAAGGAATAATATACAATTTTAAAAATGTATTACACATACAGATTATGCGATGCCAGCAAATGGTGTTGCTGACGCTGTCCCAGATAATCACAGTTTTATAACACCACATACTATATAGCCGAAAGCCATTTTTCAAGCATGTCATTTGAAGAACTGAAGTGTTTCAAATGTTGCCCACAAAGTCACATAAAATGAAGGGCCCTCTCTCTGCTTAACCCTATTCTTACATTTCTTTTTCATGAATCCACTGGCAGTACCCAGCTCCCTATGCCCTTAGTTTGATAATCCATTTCCTTGGAGCCCTAAAAATAACCCAGACTGAAAAGATTTGCCTCCTATTGAATTGGGCTTATCATTAGTTTGAAATTTTTTGTTGAAATTGTCAGACTTCTTGTGAATTGGACCCAGGCAGCTTCACCCATCACATGGTTAGGGGTCAGACTCAGAGATTAGAAGCTATAGCAGTAGAGAGACTCCCATCAACCAGCAGCATAGGTATACAAGCAGGTCACCCTGGCGGATGACGTGGGCTCACCCAAGGTGCAGGGTCTGGGTACTAACCGTTATTCATCAGAGCTCCTGATGATGGAGATAGAAGATGGGTTTTGTTGCATGTTAGTACCAGGTTGCGGTACTCAGTATCACCCCCACCAGGAGGTGAGCAAGTCTGGGTCCAGTAGCAGATATAGCAGGTAGGGATCAAACAGAAGCAAACAAACTAAAGGTCAGTAACAAGTAGTTGCAGGTTGGGATCAAGCAGAAGCGTAGTCGAGTAACAAGCCAAAGGTGAGTACTGAATGGTAGCAGCAAAGATACGGACAGCAGCGGGAATGAGAACAGCAAGGTACTGGCTGGAGAGGGCACAATAATCTGGCAAACAGTAAGTGCGGAGACATGGCTTAAATCAGGAAGTTCATGGGAGGAGCAAAGTGTTCAGGGTTCATCAAAAAACATGAGACAAGGCAAGAAGGTCCAAAAAATCAGACAAGGAGTTATCCAGCATTTTAGTTGACTCAGCAAGAAGAGCTACTGCCAGACACAGCAGAGGACCTGAGTTCCAATCCAGGCCTTGACAATAGTTTAATTTCAGATAAGTGTACTACAAGATGTTCCAAGTAAATGACAATAAAAAATACTGCTGGAACAGCACATTGCTTCTACTTTAATCTGAAAAATATAAACTTTAGTTTTTTCACCCCCCAGAGCTAAATGGGGGGTGTGGTTTAGCCAACAAGGCCCACAACAAATTGTAGAAATAATGCATAGGCAGTATGCATAAAATGCCTTCCTTTTATGTAAATATCCACTTTATACACTTACACTTTATTGTCTATATTTGGCCTGAAAAACTGCATGAATTGTAGCCCATTCAAACTGCTGCCATGCTGTCTGAGTAGTCTGTGTGATTTGTATGCCTTTTTTCTCTGACATACTGTATATACACTTACATGTGGATTTTTGGGATTAAAAGCTGCATTCTGTGTGTTATTTTCAAAATGTGGTCCAAACTACTTCAAGGCTGACTATGGACTTTGTACAATATTTTTGGCCTCAGAAATAATACACTGTAAATTGCATTTCATAACAAAACCTTCCTCATGTTTCCCTCTTACATTGCAACCTAGTAAAACCAGCTACATGAAGCAAGTCTATGCAATATATCTTATTGTTGTCTCTGAAATAATACTCAAATTTTTATTTATTTTTTTCATTTTAAACTGCCTTGTCTCTTCCTCTTACTTACTTCCCAGACACTATGCTTATATGCCTGGCTATTGTCTGTGAAATATGGCACTGCCATTTTATTTCAGCATAACAACTACCTTGTCTCTGGAATGTGGGTTGTGGTTTTAAAATCTTCTTTGTATTCTGTGCTGACATTTTATGAAACTTTGTAGATAATATAGTGTGGTACTGCACTAAGAAGAACAAACTATGCTATGAAACTTTTTTGCTCTGTTTGGCAAATGGTATAAAGTTGAAGGCTTTAGCTTTATTTTTTTGGAAGTGTGAACCTTCAAATAGTTTTTAAATCTGTTGTGTCTGCTACCTCCACAGCTGAATTCTGGCCTATTACTGCAAGAAATCAAGTGTTACAGCAAAAAAACTACCTTCTAACACTATTATTTCATTATTTCAAGCTGAAATCAACCAGATTGGGTGCTCCTGCTGTATTTAAACTAAGGAATAATGGAATAATAAAAAATATGTTACACATGTAAATTATGTGATACCAGAATATGGTGGTGCTGATGCTTTCCATAAGAAACGTACTGTTCACTAACTTAGGTACAAATTTAAGGCATCACTCAAGCTTGCACTTTCTCCACCAGGTCCGTACATCATACAGACTGGACAGCAGGGAGTTTTATACACAACCCGGTGCCTGCAGCCACCAAGATTGTGTATAAAACTGACAGGCAAACTCCTGCTTGTCAGGTGGAAGCAGTCGGGCAGCTGTACTGCCACCTGATTGTTTCCACAGTCCTCAATACCGGTGGTCACCCGAGCGTGCTCCCGATATATATCTTGCCCATCTGCAGGCCCGGGGGAGCACCATGGCATGTGCTGGCAGGTGGAGGGGAGAGAGGAGAGCGGATGAATATCTCTCCTCCCCTTAATTCTGTGACCTGGAATGCGATGTGTATGATGTCACTTCTGAGTTGCGACTGTCACTTTCCCCGGCTAGAATAGCCAAGGAGAAATGTATTGCAATGCGATTTGTATTGCAATACATCCAATGGAGCCCAGAGGAGACATGTAGGGTCTTTTAGACCCTGCATGTCTCATTAAAGAGAATTTGTCACCTAAAAATCATCACATAGGGTACTTTTGTGTCCCCTATGTGATGAAAAAAAACTTAAGTACATATTTTTTCATTGCAAAAAAATAAAGTTACACCTGAGCACATAACATCCCCCCAAAAAAATTTTGAGGCCCCCGCACCCCCACATATACACATGTACGAATGTAAAAGCATACGTCGTGACTCCCACATGTGAACACATTGATTGCGATACCCATGTTACATATCACCATGCAAGCCTGAGTGAAAAGCAATAATTTTAGAACTCCTCCATAATGCTAAACTGATGACCTATAGGGGCTTTTGAACCATCGCCTATAGGAAATATAGGGTAATGAACTTTGTTGCCATTTCATAGGAGCACACAAATTTAAGGTTTGGCATGTTGGGTATGTATTTACTTGGTGCAACTTTATCTTTTTACATTCTACAAAAAATGTTGGTGATGTATTGAATTTTTTTGTCCTAAAATTCCCTTTAGTGTGTTTTTTTACAAAAATTTTGCATTTCTCAGACCTTTATCTAGACCTCAATATCATGTGACATAATAACTTGAAACTACCACTATTTTATTATTTAGGGTGTCTGCTTTCAGAAAATATGTAATGTTTAGAGGTTTTGTGTAATCTTCAGGCATTAAATTATTTTTTAAATGTGTGTGCAAAAAATGCATAAACAGCTTTTGCAGCAAAAGGGCTAAAAAAAAAAGAAGGGTAGGGGGGAAAGGGAGGAGACAGGAGAAAAGGGAAGGGGGGAAGGAGAGCGGGAATAAGGGGAAAAGAGGGGAAGGAGGGAAAGAAGATGCCTCCAAACCCACCACCACACCACTATGCCAGACCACTCCCCTTTTCTCCTGTCCCCCCTTTCCCCTTCTTTTTTCCCCCCCTCTTCATTTCTTCCCCCCCCCCCTATTTTTCTAGTACAAAAGATTTTTTATCTTATGTTTAGTGGGATTTTTAAGGCAACCTTAAGCTGCACAAGAGAAACCCCTTTTTTAAAAGAATCAAGATTTTATTTATACATCCAATATATAGTTAACGTTTTGTGCTCACCAAGCA